GTTTAAAACCCCTGATGGCTTATATGAGTGGCTTGTTATGCCCTTTGGCATGTCCAATGCACCCAGCACGTTCATGAGGGTGATGACTCATGTGTTACGACCTTATATTGGTAAATTTCTGGTAGTTTATTTCGATGACATACTTATATACAGCCACTCTCATGAGGAACATCTTCAACATCTTAGGACGATATTCCTTACTTTACGAAAGGAAAAACTTTATGCCAACTTAAAAAAATGTTCGTTTCTTCAACCACAAGTTTTATTCTTGGGGTTCAATATTTCTGCTGCTGGGGTTAGCACAGATCCTGCCAAGGTGGAGGCTATTACTGGTTGGCCAACACCCACGACTCTGACAGAGGCACGCAGTTTTCATGGTCTTGCCTCTTTTTATCGACGTTTTATTCCAGGGTTCAGTACTATTATGGCACCAATAACTGATTGTATGAAACAAGGTGCTTTTCTTTGGACCTCTGCGGCTGCCAAGGCCTTTACAATTTTGAAGCAGAAGATGACGCAAGCACCTGTTCTTCGACATCCTGATTTGACTAAAGTCTTTGAAGTCGCATGTGACGCTTCCGGAGTTGGGATTGGTGGTGTGCTTAGCCAAGAAGGACATCCCATAGCATACTTTAGTGAGAAACTTAATGAAGCAAAGCAGCGTTATTCTACTTATGATAAGGAGTTTTATGCTGTGGTACAAGCACTTCGGTATTGGCAATATTACCTACTGCTGAACGAATTTGTGTTGTATTCAGATCATCAAGCTTTGAAATATCTGCACTCTCAACGCACCATTAGCAGTCGACATGTTAAGTGGTCCGAATATCTCCAGATCTTTACATTTGTTTTACGACACCGTCCAGGCATTGACAATAAGGCAGCCGATGCCCTTAGTCGCATGGCTAGTATTTTGCACACAATGACAGTTCAGGTAACCGGGTTTGATCGTATTAAGACTGAGTATTCGTCTTGTCCAGATTTTGGGATTATTTTTCATGAAGTTTCCAATGGTAACCGTCGCGAATATGTGGACTTTATTATGAGGGATGGGTTCCTATTTCGAGGAACACAATTATGTATTCCCCGTACATCTCTCCGTGAATTCCTTGTTTGGGAACTACATGGTGGCGGCCTCGCAGGACATTTTGGCAAAGACAAGACTATTGCCTTGGTGGAAGATCGTTTCTATTGGCCGTCGTTAAAACGTGATGTTGCTCATCTCATTTCCCAATGTCGTACATGCCAGCTAGCTAAAGCTCGCAAACGTAACACAGGTTTATATACCCCTTTGCCGATACCTCATGCCCCATGGAAGGATCTTAGTATGGATTTCGTGCTTGGCTTACCTAAGAC